TCCTAGGGGCTACAGCTCCCCTCCAGCCCCCCCCCCCCACTGGTCTCCAGCCCCCTGCTCATCTTCATGCTCCAGAGGCTGGAGATGGGCAGGAGAATGAGCAGGAGGCTGCAGCTAGCAGGGGCTTGTCTCCAGCCTCTTGCTCGTCTCCAGCCTCCTGCTCATTCCCTTGCTCATCTCCAGCCTCCTGTTCATTCTCCTGCTCATCTCCAGACTTGGGACACTGGAAAAGAGCAGGAGAATGACCAGGAGGCTGGAGACAACAGGGAAAGTCTCCACCTCATCTCCAGGGGTTTGTCCCCAGCCTCCTGCTTGTCTCCAACCCCCTGCTCATTCTCCTGCTTGTCTGCAGCCTTGGGACACTGGTGATAAGCAGGAGGCTGGAGATGAGACCCTGGAGATGTTCCCCTGCTGTCTCCAGATTCCTGCTCATTCCCTTGATCATCTCTAGCCCCCCAAGGCTGGAGACAAGCAGGAGAACAAGTAGGGGGCTAGAGACTAGCAGAAGGCTGGAGACAAGCCCCTGGAGATGAGCTGGTGACTTCCCCTGCTGTCTCCAGCCTCCTGCTCATTCCCCTGCTCTTCCCAGCCTCCTGCTCATTCTCTGCTACTGTCAGCAAGTGTGGGGGGGCTGGAAGAGTGAGCAGGGAGCTGGGGGAACAAACGGGGGACTGAGGGAATGAATGGAGAGCTGGGGGAATGAACAGGGGACAGGGGGAATGAACGGGGTGGCAAGAATGAGCTGGGGCCGGGCGAGGCCTCCCCCATGGTCTCCTCCCCCAGTCCCCCAACCCCTACTTACCTGGCACAAAGCCGGGGCCAGGTTCCTGCAGTTTGCACTGCTGCCTGCCCCACATGGGCAGGCAGTGTGCTTCATCACTAGGGAAAGGGCCAACCATAGAGATGCTTTGGCTGGCTACTAAAGCATCTCTGTGGAGAATTGAGCCTCCAGTTGCCTCAGGCTTTTTTTCCCCTGGGGTATTATTTGACCCCTGGATATCCCGGGGTCTAATTTTGCCCCCACACTGCAAATTTGCAGCTGGGGGAGCATTTTTTGGTCCCGCACATGCCTCTTGCAGCGTCTCAAAGGGGTTTGAGATGCTGCAAGAGGCACATGCGCACTCGCCTGGATGCGCCCAAGGACTGCATCCAGATGAGTGTGAATGTGCAGTTTGCAGCACCTCAAAGCTGTTTGTGGTGCTGCAAACTGCATTTGGCACATGAGCAACCATTAGTTGTGCTGTAAATTTGAGGTGGCACATAAAATTTGACACCAAGAGATCCGTGTGTCAAGCAAAAACAAAAACAAAAGTGTACCACATACAGCAGCTACATTCACCACCAGAAACAGAGCCTGGCTGTCCAGAGCCACACTCTTTCTGCTAGCCAGACTCTGTGCATCCATACTGGCACTGCTGCTGCTCTAGGAGGCACAGGTGATGGGCCCAGCCTCCCCTACCCAATGTTCCCTCTAAGGTGTAGTGATACGTGAGCATGCCACTTCAGTACGTGAGCACGCCACTTCAGTTCTGCCTCTTAGAGGCAACCTTGATCGCTATACCTTAGAGGGAACATTGCTGGTGAGCATCTCAAACACACCAGTCCTCCCTCCCTCCAGTTTTCTTCCCCTTGCCCTGAACCAAGTCTTTTCTGCTCAGTGGCTCCAGTTCCCCTGAGGATGAGATTCCTCTTCTTAATCTTAAAGCTCAATCCCTCCTTTAAATCCTGAGAATCAGCCCAGCCCTGCAAGCCCATGCCCTCTGAGAACTACTTGGCCTACAGTACTTCTCAGCTGTTTGTTAATGGGAAGAACAGCCAAATCCCCTTTGCCTGAGGGTGAAGCTGGCAAGGCTCAGGGTGAAGCTCGCCCAAAGGGGCTGAGGAGCGGAGCAGTTCCCTGGAACCAGAAGATCCTGTGCTGTGCCTGGCTCTGCCCCAGCCCTAGCCCCCATCCCCAGCCTTGCCTTGCCTGGGGGGCTGCTCTGGCTGGGGCTGTGCTCTCCCTCCCTGCAGGGATGCTGGCACAGTGAGGAGTGGTGCAGCCCCACTCAACTGAGCAATAGGTGTGCTGCGCTCTGGGAGTGGCGCCCAAAGTTTCTGGGAAGCCACAGCCCTGATCCGCTCTGGGAAGGTCCAGGGCACCAAAAGGCCGCTGTCCCCAGCCTCAGCCAGCACCAGAGCTCCTCTGTGGCCCTGGGGGAGGCCCAGTTCCTCCAGCTGTGGGAACAATTCTCACAGTGCTGTTACTGCATGGCAATGTTTTATTGTGTGCAGCCGTGCACACACACAGCTTAGAGGGAACCATGCCCCTGCCCCACCAGGCATAATTTTTCATGCACCAGAGGGGCATGTCCTGGGACAAAAAGCAGCAACACAAATATGTGCTGCTGCTATTTGTGCCATGGTAAATACACACCCATACACGTGGGGACATGCTCAAGGGGTTTAAATCTCATTGAAAAATCAATGGCTCCTTAGGCTCCTGTATCTCTCTATCACTTCTTAAAATAGGATTTAGGGTTTACATGCAATTATGTTTGCCCTTTTCACTACAATGGCATAGGTGAAGTGGCCAATCATCATAATACAGATGCAGAGAAGTCTGTTATAAATCTACTGACGTCAACATACGAACTAAAACAAGCTATACTAATACTAACAGGAAGTTGACTGTGCAGTAGAAATGTCATCACTAAAGACAATAACACATGTGCCCCTATTAGACTGGAGTCAACTAATTAATTCCACAGCAGGATAGTACTTGTAAATACAGGTACTATAGTACCTGTATAGTAAATACAGGATAGTAAATACAAGTACTATCCTGCTGCAGAGTTTTTACTCCGCAGCAGCACATGTGTAGATGTTGCCCAGGCTAGCTGGGGTGTGAAAGTGCATCAGTGCTAGCTAGCTAGCCCTGCATTGAAGCACCCTTGTGCTCCAGCCAGCCCTTCTGCAGCATGTTGAATCAGCCCTGGGCTGGCAGGATGATCCCCTCCTAGCCAGGGTTGCTCCAACCCAAATCAATGTGCTACAGTCCTGAGTGCACATGAAGATGCGGTGCCCAGGAGCACTAAACTCCAGAGTTTATTCATGTGCATTAATTGTACATGTAGACATGCTCAGTAGGTCTGATACTGACATTGCTGTGCTGGCAGAAAAATTACATCCTAGTTGACTTAACATACAGACAAGTCCTGTGGGTCCTAAATGCCAAAGTCACTTTTGAAAAGAGCCTGAGGCAAAGTTACTTAAAAAATTTAATCATCAATTGAAAGTCATCTTTTTGGCCACCAGCCAGACACAGTGCTTATATCTTGCATCTGCCATCTCATTCTCAGGTTAGAACAAGAAGTTCCTGTCCTGCGTGCAGAGACAGAAGTAGTACATTTCATACAGAACATGTCTTGCCAATGCAAAACCATTCACAGTTAAACCTCTGGTTTGGAAATGCCCTTCTTCTTGATCTATTAATTATCCCCTTTAAAATCAGCCTTAAAAACATTTTTATCTGCAGTCACTGCAGTCATGTGGTCCCTAGAACTGGGTAAACTTATTTGACAAATATTGTATTAATCAAAAAAGAAGCAATTCTGTGGAGACCAACTTAATTTGTAAATTTGGATCCAATTTACCAAATAATTTGATACAAAATAGTCCTTAAAGACTGAAAATATTTCTTGTCAACAAACTGTTTTAAACTATAGTTTCAAGATGACACTTCAGTTTAAAATTACCATTTTTTTAAAAAAGGTTTAAAAACAAAAATAAAATAAAAATGTTCATTGCTTTGGTTTAGCCACCCCAAATGTTTTATTATAGCTGCTGTTTCCACTATTGAATATAAAAATCATTTACCTGCACAGCTTTGGTGGTTCTCTTATTCAGTATAACTTACCTGGGGCACCCAGGTACCAAGAGCAGAAATGTTAGGCAGAGCCATATTGTCTCCAGAACAGCTATGATTATGCACTCTGGCCAGTAGAGAACAATGTCTCTGACTGGAGCCCACCAGTTACCATTCTAAAAGAGAAGTCAAGGGGGAAAAAACACTGTCAGATAAATAGTCAGACAAGGATGTCAAGGCACTTTAGTAAGCCTTCATGTAGACATCAATATTTAAAGCCTTTTTTTTTCCATGTGAATCAGCAGGAAACTGTGTTTTAAACAGAGTACAGTCTGAGAAAGAGGCAATTACAATCTGTTATCCACATCCTATCACTTTCACTTAAGGGACTCTCTTTTTCCAGAACTAAAAGCAATACAAGACTATTTGCTTTATGATTTAATCTTGTGGAAACCAAAAGCAGCTTGTCAGTACTTTGTTCAACTCCTAGATCATTGTTACAGCTGGGGATGGGAGAACAGTTGTGATTTGGGGCAATTTCAAATACGCAGATATTGCGAGTTCAAATTTCCACAAATGAGTCTAAAGCTTTTGAAGTTAAAACTCTGTTCATTATCCAGTCCCTCCACTCCCCTTTTGTTCACTTCTAAGGACTGCCAGGGAGATATGAATGACACCATCAAATGGGTGATATCCTTAGGAAGAAGTATGGTAGATCTATAACAAGTGCTCAAAGCACCAGGCCAAGGTAAACAGAGTCCCTAACAAATAATGCAAGCCACAAGAAATATATATGGAGGGTAACTACATCTCACAACTGAATGGTGCTTTCCACAAGGAAGTCATCAGTAAAACTGTTGAGAAATCTGTTGTCAGTTGTTGAATAATACTTTGGCACCTGAAATGTTTTGTCAAAGGCTACTTGGATATAACAAATTAAGAAAACAGGGATTCAAGGGATTTTTTATTCACAACTGCAGCCTGCTTTAAACAGAATTTTCATCAAAAAATAGTTTGGAATTATAAGAAAAGCATCTGGAGAGATGCTCTCTAGTTAAAAAGTACAGAGATTATCAATCCTCATGCTTCAAAGCATAAGCTGATCACTAGCTGGAAGAAGCTGCACCTGTTGCTATAGTACAGTACACTTAAGTATATTAATCAAAAGCACATAACCACAGCTGCTGAAAAAGATGAAATAAGCAGGATATCCAAATAGATGAGTGATAGGTCTGTTCCAGTATGTATGGCAATTCTAACATAACCATCTATGGAAAAATGCAATAACTGATTTTCAAATATTTAATTTTAAATTAGTGGTTTGGAAGATACCAAATAAAAAGCATTGGAAAATAAAACAGTAAAAGTCAAGCATGTGATAGGAGGCAGGCCATTTTGACAGATACTATAGTTTGGCAGAAACAATGCCAACTAAAGAGACTATAAGATTAGAGCCAATGACACTACAGGTGAATGAAGGTTAGCACTAACAGCTCATGCCATCTTCATGTCTCATTAGAAAACAGAAAAACTAGTATACCTGAGTTGTTTTCTTAGTATTCCTATCTTGGGTACCGCATCCTATGTTACAGAAATTGAGGGGATAAAATTTAAAGGGGAAAGAGGAAATTTATTCATAAGAGCTTCCAATAGTTCATACATAAAAATACTGAAATACTGTAAAAAGCATCATTCATTTAGAGCTTGAATTAAGAACTGCAACGCTAGCAGTACCAGTATTCCTTTTCTAGGCCTGATCTTGCACCATAAAATACAATAGGATCTTTGTCAGTGACTTCATCTCAGCAATCCCCTAATGAACCAGTACAAGAACTGTATTTGCATCTGCCACTGTCATTCTGCCCATTCATGATATCCTTACATGCAGGACAGAGACACTGGGAGTTTGATAACCTGGGATGAAGCAGTTAGTTTTTCCTTATCATTTGTACATTGTAATGCAAGCTAAAGAGATAAGATTCTGTTTTCACAACTGAATGCAAGATAGAAGAGTTAAGACTGGTAAAACAGCAAGGAACATATTTCTAAGGCTAGACATTCCATTACAGCTCACCTGATATTTCTCTACATCCTTTACACTGAAGCAGGTCTGCATCAAAGCCACTGTGAAGTAGGTAAAGCCTAGACGTTGCAAAACACCTGGGATTCTTGCCCAGCTCCATGATACTGTAGATATAACAGACAAAGCAACACAGTGTACCACCAAGTGACTTAACTGCTGTGTTCTGCAATTCATGCAAAACCAAAGAGGCATGTGAGGAACACCATGTTACCTCATAAAATACCTGCACGGTGGCAAATACTGGACTTCATCATATATTACCATGTTAAATAATGACACCATCCATCAGAAGAAAGTCATTGATAAATCACTGGGCAGCTGATAAGCATGGACATATGTAGATAAGTGAATCACACTTTTATGATCCTGGTATCAGTTTTTACCTTGGAAGAAGAGTTTTGCAGGAGAAAGAGCTTGGAACATAAAAACTGCCATTTAGTGGATCAGACAATAGGTCCAACTTGCCCAGTATCTTGTGTCACACTGTGGCAGAGTGTGGATGCTGAAAGGTGAACAGAGTATGACCAAGGTTTTTTCTATTGGTTCTCTCCCACTTGCAGCTTTCAGCATTCAGGGTCTAGGAAGTTCTGATTCATAGGCTGTGCCCCTAACTCCCATGCACATTTACTCCATGGATTTGTGCAATCTCTTTTTTGAATCTGGATAAACTGTCAGCTTCCACAACAACTGGTGGCAATAAGTTTTACACTTTAATGATTCCCTTAACAACGTGCTACGGTGATGTAGCATTGGTGGTCACAATGCTTCCTTGTTATAGTGCATTGCTACGGCAACGCAGCAGCTAAAAATAACTGCACGGTGCAGTAACAAAGGTGCCATAGGGACACATGTAGACACACCCACTGTGTGAAAAAGTATTTCCTTCTGTTAGTTTTAAACTTACTACCAAGTAGTTTTATTTTATGACCCCTACTTCTTGTATTGTGAGAGACAGTAAATAATAAATCCCTATTTACTTTCTCTCCACCATTTAGTATTTTGTAAACCCATATCATCATGTCCCCCC